ACAGGATTATTGTAAAAAATTCCTTATATCTTATATTGCAAATTTCTGTATGAAGCTAAATATTGTTTAAAATTCTGAGGTAAAATAATTAATGAATTAAAATTAATTGTTAAATTTCTCTCAAACTAGAAAATGATCATTGACAAATTCTAGATTTTTCCTTGTCTCAATCCTTTGAGTGCTACTAAGGTTTTTTTATTTTTTTTGAGTAAAAAAATTGTTTTTTAATGGAATTAATGAAGGATAGAATTTAAGGTGGTTAAGTTGGTTTTATTTTATTAGGTATGTGTTTATTATACGAGAAATATATTGTATACATTCACACTGAATACAACTATTTGGCAAGTTTTCGGTACAGAGTTAGTTTTGTAGATATTATTGGTGCGGTAGGGGAATTACACAAAATCGATAATTGTGTGATTATATACATATTTTTCAATTATGTTAATATCACAGGTCTTAACTAAAACACTATGTACGAGTAACACTAAAAAACAGCCATTGAATCAAGTGGCGAAAGCCACTACAAGTGTTTTGATCGTGGCTTTCACCTATTATTTTTTTTTTATAAATTTCTGATATAAAAGTATAAAATGTAATAGCAAACAAGATTTTATGGGCTCAAGTAGTAAAATCTTGTGAATTACATTATGTCTCATTTATAGAAGAATAAATATTTACAAAATTTTAACAACTTAACTAACCGAATCTACCCATRCAAACACAAAAACACTGATCCTAGTTATTAAATTGACACAAACAAATACCCTGCTAAATCACTAGACTTATCCCTAGATGTCACAGATATGATATCAAAAAAACCAAATTTACAAACAAGTCGGATGAATGGTCACAATGTTGCCATTTTTAACAGCGTTGCTCTTCGATATGGTCTCTCGACTGTCCCCCAACGAGGTTATGTTCGTTCGTGACGTCATCGTGATCGCTGAAGTGGATTGGTCGCCGCGACTGACCAATGGTCCCATGTCGCACTCGTCTTCGTTGTTCGGACAAATCGAAGTACCACGAGTGGGGCGCATTCGCTCCGATCCGTGCTTGTTTTTCCGGGGAAAAACGCTGTTTTCCAGGTGGAGAGTGGCGTTGACGTCTTTACCGGCGGCGCAGGTGCACGCCTTCAGGAAGCTTTTCTTGAAGTTGTCGCTGAGGAAGGCGTAGAGGATGGGGTTCATCGCCGAGTTGGAGTAGCTGAGGCAGGAGGCCATCAAGTGGAGAGTCACCACGAAGGGAGAACTGAAATTTTTTTTTTTTTTGGCTCACTTTGTATAGTTTCTGAGTTACAACAACAATGAGCAAAAACTACAGGGAGTTTAAAAAAGATTGTAAAAATATTTGAAGAAATAATAATAAAATTACAAATAAATATTTCAGAAAACGATGTTTATTAAGACTTTTTTGTTTGTTTTGGACCATACTATTACATCCTGAAATATTTTACAATCTTTTTTAAACACGCTGTATATCCCCGTGTGACGTGTAAATTAAAAATTTTCCGGTTTTCTCGACACCAATCAACATTTCGAATCATTTTACTTTTTTTTTAAAGACGTATGAGAAAAATACCTCGTGGAAAATAAAGCAATTGGTTAAATTTTGTGGTTTATTAAAAAAATTTTAAACGCTTAAAAAGGCAATATTTTTGCCTAATTCTATGTTCTTTCGTCTTATTTTTCAAAACGTGCTAAATCAGTCAAAAAAGACATAAATAATATAATTTTTGACTTTACTTGGTGATTTTTAAGCTTGTTTTAACAAAATCGCGCAAAAAAACGGAGATTTTAGTACACAAACGTGTTTTTGGCTACATTTTGCTCAGGAATCAATAAAATTGAGTGAAACTATTTAGATTTTTCACATTAACTTTTGATCTGCTTTAATAAGATTTTGCAAATAAATAAAACTCTAGTTCAAAAATGAATA